ACGCCTTTGATCCTTGCACTTAGGAGGCACAGGTAGGTGAATCTTCTACCAGGCCAGCCCGGTGGTCTACAGATTAAGTTCCAGGGCAGCCAGGGCTACACAGAAAAACCCTGTGTCAAAAAAAAAAAAAAAAAAGGACAAACCTACCCACTTTCACTAAACACTAAGAATGAACCAAGTTTTTTTTTTTTTCCCTTGTCCACTCCAGCAGCATTAAAATTGAGTTAACAAAGCAGTCCCCCATGTCTGTAATACTACTAAGCTTGAGATGTCAGAAAGAAGATTCTAGCGTATCATGGAACAGGGACGGATACTATTGCTCACTGAAACAACACGCGTCATTTTTATGTAGAAATAATATTTGAGCTCTTGCTACAATGCCAACAACTTTGATAAATTCCCTGAGGAACACAGGTCTCCCCCTCAGGAAGCACAGCACCTCCCAATGGCACACCATGGCCTATATCCACAAACAAAGCAAGAGCAAGAGGAAAGGGACTGACTGCTACGTGCACAAAATGCAACAGAATCAGAGTTGAACATGTCATGGCTGCAAAAGAGAGTTCTCAAGATACAGGGCTGAAACTAGGCAAAAAAAAAAAAAAAGTGGGGGAGGAAGGTCACAAGTAAAACAAAGACAGAGAGAGCAGCTAAGGAATCTGAGAGGCAGGCAAGAGTCCAGCTGCAAGAGGGGCATGGAAAGTGGAATCCGTAGAAAAGAGCCCTAAAAGCCATGTGGGAGCCCATGACCTCACAACACTTGGAAAGAGCCAACCATTTTGGACTTTCCAGGGGAGAACCTAAGTGATAAAAATCAGTACCTTAAACAAATGACACATTAGTAGTTACAGTAGATAAGAGAACAAATCTGCTCAGAAAAACAGGAACATCAACGCAATGACCAAACCTAAAGCTCTCCCACGTTCCTGGATTCCTGTCTTGAGGCCAGAAGACAGTGGCCTCAGAGCCACAGTGCGCTCAAGCTTCCGCTCTCACCGTTCACTACCTGAGCCTCTGTTCCTCAGTTAAATTTAGGGTACCAGCTGCTCAAATTGTCACAAGGACTTGTCAACACACCAGTATAGTCCTGACACACAGCACTAGTACTGCTGAGCTGAGTGTGGTGGAAACAAAACACAACAAAAGAATGGGCCTAAGACCAGAGCAAGAAGTCCTGAGAAAAGCCGTCTTGACAGCTGAAGACATGGAGTATAAACGGTCAAAGGGTAGAAAGCAGAAAAAACATCCACCTGTAAGGCAGGTCAGAAGTCCTACTGGACTCAGCTTCAAAAATTCCTTTTTATTTAAAAACTTAAAAAATGTTTGAAGCCTAAGAGCAAGCATCAGAAGACATAGTAAGCAAGCTACAGGTATAGTCCCACCCCACCCACCCCAACCCTCTGCCCTGTAACCACACAGATCAAGGAAATGGACAGGCCAAGGAAGTGTTGACAATACAATCTAATTCTTCATGCGCCAGCCTCCATCACAACTTTGAGAATAAATAAATTATGCTAACTTTATTTCAAGAATGTTGCCCAGGAACTATGGAAACAGACCTGCCATGGGCTTTGGTGGCATTACACCCACTGAAAGGAGTAACAGGATGTAAAATGTAATACAAGGAAACCACCTCACAACCCATTGACACTCAGGCAATGCTTGGCAAGTCAAACACGGTTCTGAGAACCACACATCCCACCACTCCACTGTCTCAATTCTCTGACACAAGGCAGAAAACTAAAGTGAAGGCTCAAGAACTAAATGCCCTCAAGGACACCAGCCTTTAAGGGACAGACTAAGGAGTTACCCCAAAGAACCCTTGCTCACAAAATGCAGGGCTCTTCGTTCAGAGCTTTCAAATGCGCACTTGTGAGGACCGCTGGCCACACTTGGCTTTCCATTCTTCATTTTCTCTTTCTGCTGCTGGTATTTGGCGGCTACCTTTAACATTAGGAAACACAACAGCTGACAAGGCACTACCTCAGCAGCCAGTTCAAAGGCTTAAGCAGGATGGTAGGACTCCTAGACTATCATCCACCCATGCCATCACCTGAGAAGAACCTCAAAGCGCAACCTTATTAGAAACACAAGGTCTGTCAGGAAATCAGAAAACCAAGCCTGCCAAAGCAGCAGGGAGATGTGTCACAAGCGGTCATCAAGAAAGAGCAAGGAAGTAGGGTCAGAAAGAAGGCCAGCAGCCGCCTTCTGAGGACCTGTCCATGTCATCACAGGGGATCAGTCTAGATGACAAGCAGCACCTCACACCTCCTAGAGGTGGCTCAGGCAGTCTGTCCCTCTGGCTGTCTGGTAAGAGGACAATTGTACTCTTACTGGTTATGACACCAAAGGCGGTAAGTGCTCAAACCTCATGAAAATCAGCTCTTACACAAGCCTGGTGATGGTAGCAGTTCAGCAGGCAAAGTGAATGATTCCTTGCTACACAGCCCCAGGGAAGGTCTGAGGACAAAATGTAAATGTCTCTGCTCACAGCTTTCTCTTCCCACTTTAGGGATGTACACCATAAATATTATTTCTGAAAATGAATCAAATTCACATGTACTAGAAAAACAGTTCTAACCAGCGCCAACGTGTCTACCATCTCTCCCCCCTGAGTTCCAATGCATTTCTCTGTTTGTTTGTAAGTAACAAACCTAACAAACTATTTCTACTAACTCTATCTAAATGTGTTCAATGTCCATAATAACCATCCCAGGAGGAACTGTGTGGGGAAATTCATTTGTCCACACCATCTGACCACACTATAGTTACACTTCATCACAGTACGTGAACTAGCACATTTATTCAACAGGTTAAAGCTTCGAAGATCCAAAACTGTCACACACCTTTTTATCAGAAATCTATGTTTATGAAGCAGTAGCTACCCTTTCTGCTCACTGGCTTGAAAGCTTCCCAGGTCACAGGAAGCAGTTATTTCTTGTTCCCTTGGCAGACAGGCATTATGATAATCAGTCTTGCAAACACCTTAATTAGATGGAAACTACAAGTATCAAAAGAGGTTCTCAGGCTTATGTCAAAAGCTAAGATGTTTAACGGGTCTTCAACAAAAGTTAATACAAAATAGAATCTCAAGGCTGGGCTGAGTGGCAGAACACTTGGCTAACTTAGAGAGACACTCTAGCTCAATTCCCAATATTGCCAAAAAAAGAAAACAAAAATTCAAACTAAGAAACTGCTCCATTTCCCACCAGTTTCCCATGTAACATGGACAGATTAGAAGTGTGCTTCAAAGGGAGGGTCAAGGTGCAAACATTTTGAAGTCATTAACAAGTTAATTAAGTTGTTTAACTTTGTACATTGTTTTCTTCCCCCACAGGTTAGCATTTGTCCTAAATTCTAGCGATCTGACTCTATTCAAACAAGAAAAGAAGGAAGTGTTTAGTGTTTGTGATCACAGACTTCATGCCTTGCAGGACAGCAAAACTAATAGAAAAATTCCAAGGCCGCAGAAAAGCCTCTGCTTAGGAGCTAAGTGCACACAGGGCTAACTCCTTTCAGGCACGGTCGCGTCCTGCCTCCCCTCCCCCATAGGTAAATGCCAACCGTTTCTAGAACTCTCAGTGGTAATTTGGGAAGTTTGCCATTAGCTCACAGGATTCAATCCAACTGATACACAGTGTTTTTGTGGAGATAAAGATGCCCTACTTCCCCAGACTATAAACTTATTAAAGTGGTGAGAACACACAGTCCCAGGAAGTCGGGATTACTGAAGTACTCCAATAAGCATGGCTCTTATTTAACAAAAATGAACATGAATCACACAGGGAAACCCCAAACTCACTACCTTCAATGGTTCATCAGGATACTGCAAATCATTCTAACTAAACTAAATCAGTTTGACAGGGCCTTTGTATTATCCCAAGTGATTTGGAGGGGGATAGGGGTGGAGAGTAGTTACTTTACACTCGTGGGGGATCTCAAGATTCAAACTAAAAACACCATTTCACCCACCATATTTTATTTAACATGTTTAGAGCAGCATAAGGTTCTTATATGGAAAACAAGAAAGGCAACTGTAAACTTCCCTAATTAACTGTACAGGACATAGGTAGGGAAACCCTTCACCCAGGGGCCTGTGAAGTCCAAGGTTTTAGGAAAACTTCAGACTCTGAGGAAATGTAATGCTTAGATACGTTCCAACAATTCTGTGCGATCACCAAATTATTTTCAGTGTTTGGTAACCTAACAAAGAGAGTGTTTCCTAAAACCTACCCAACCCAAATGTTACACAGAACGGACCATTTTCACAACCTAAATTTAATCCAAATTGAGAACTTCCAAAATTACCGAACACTCTAAAACACATGCAAGGCTCCCCTCGAGCTGCCTTTCAACATGGAATTACACTTAGATGAAAGTCTGCCCCTGTTCTAAAAAAAAAAAAAAAAAAAAAAAAGACATCGGTTGCAAGGAGGAAGTCACCAAGCAAACACTCACAACGTGGCCTCTATACTGTCAGAAGATAATGTGACTTGTGTACCAGTGCCACCCCGAAACTTACCAGGAAGCTGGCAATAAGTTTGCCAACTGTATACACTTCTGACCCAACTTTACCGAGGCTGCGGCCAGGGCCTCCTTCTGGAGAGCCCACGGGCACAAGGTGCCCACACGCGCGTCCCGAGCGAGCGAGGCCGAGCCGCGCCCCTCCCCCGCCCGCGCCCCAACAGCCGCCCGCGGTCCCCGCCGCCGCCCGGGGTCTCCGCGCGCCGCGGCCGGGAGGGGAGCGCGACCGGGCGGCTGCAGCCCGCGCGCCCGGGCGCCCATCCCGAGCCCGGCTGACTCCCCCGGTTAAAGGCAAGCACGGGCGGCCACGGCCCCGCATCCAGCCGGCGCCCGCACGCACGCACGCCCGCCCGCCCGGGCCGAGCGCCTCCCGCCGCCGGTCCACCCCGAGCCGGGGGGCAGCACGTGAGCGCAGCCGCCCCTCCCCCGCTCCCAGGCCAAGTTCGCGGCGCCCGCCGCCCCCGGCCCGCGCTCACCTGCTGGGCGACGCTGTCCCCTCCCGGACGCGCGGCGCTCCCCTCCTGGCCGCCGTCGGCACCCCGAGGCGCCCTGGGGTGCGGGCGCTGACAGCCGGGCGGCGGGTCCGGCGGGGGAGGGGCGCGGGGGCAGGGCGCAGCACCGAGGCAGGAGGGGAGCTGTTACTAAGGGAGAGAGCCAAGCGCGCGAGCGGCCAACGGCTCCGGCTCGGCACCGGGGAGCGCGGGGACCAGCCAGGCACAAATGAGCTCCGGGCCCGCGGCGGCGGCGGCGGCGGCGGCGGCCGCGCAGCAAAACAAACCCGAGCGGCCTGCGCCGGGCGCGCGGGGAGGAGGGAGCGGGGAGGGGGAGGGGAGGAGGACCCGGGGGGGGGGGCAGGGAAAGGGAGCGTGGAGGGGGAAGGGAGCCCGGAGGAGGAGAGGCGAGGGGGAAGGGAACCCAAGCCTGGGGGAGGGGGGAAGGGACGCTCGAGGGGGAGGGGCGCTGGGGGGAGGGGAGGGGAGGAGCGCGGTGGGGGAGGGGCGTGCCGGGGGCGGGGCCGCGCGGCGGTGGGGGCGGCGGCGGCAGATTCGCGGCTCCAGTCTCCCGTCTCCGCTTCCCCGCTTGCTCCGCGCTCCCTCCACCCGCCCTCCCTCGCTCGCGGCGGCGCTGGCGGCCCGGCTCGCGGCACATTCGGTCCCAGAGCCCGCAGCCCCGGCTGTCCCGGGGCCGCCTGGGTGGCGCTCGGCTCCCCTCGCCCGGAGCGGTTCAGCGGGGCGGGGAGGCTGGTGGCGGGCGCTCGGTGCGCTCTTCCCGCGTGGACTTCGCGTGCAGGGCGCCGCGCGCTCCGCCGGCGCGTAAACACGCCTGCTCGGAAGCGTACCTGGAAAGGTGCTCGGTCTGCTGGGAGCTGACCGGCGGGCTGGGGGCCCCGGCGCGCAGACGGCGAGAGGGCTTTGGTGCCAACGCTAAGCTGTGATGGGAGTTTGTGCGCCCAAATGTGGGACTCGCCTGCTGGGTCTTACTTGGAAGGTTTACTCGGTCAGTTCCCATTGCGCGGAAATCAAGCCACAGACCGAAGGACTGTCCACTTAAGTGTGCGCCCCGGTGTGCTGTCCACGGGAGTTCGTCCCCTCTACTTTCTGCATGCGTGTGGCACGTGAAGGCGGTTTCTGAAGTACAATCTGTCTGCGTAGTGATGCCGAAATATGATTGCGGGAGCGCAGAGGGGTTGTGTGTGTGTGTGGGGGGTCGTTTCTTAAGAGAGACATACTTTAAAACAGTGCGGTGACTTTGGAGCCTTTCAGAAACCTGGGGCTTAAGAGGCAGCCTTCTTTTAATGCTAACATATAACTTGAAGCTCTGTTTTTCACTTACTATCTTTAAAAATAGTATTTTGCAGCCTTTTTGGGTGAGAGGTTCAGTCTCAAGTTGTCAAAATATTGGAAACATGTATATTCCTGTCAAGCACTGTCTTTAATGCCTCAAACATAAATTTTCAAACAAAGTATCATTTGAAGTAACTTTCACCTCTATAGACTCTGTTTTGCCTAATAAACTCCATAATTAGACTGGATTGTTTTTGGTTTTTTTTCAGTCAAGGTCAACATCTCGCCCCTGGTGGGCCCCTCCTTGGGGACAACAGCAGGTGCCTGTTAGACATAACTGGAATAGAGTGGGAAAGCCATCAAAGGGAAGTCTGGGGTTGGAAACGCCCTTTCTACCAAAAAGTTCAAAGCCTGAGCCTGGTTGTCCCCGGAGCTATTGTCACTTGTGAAAAAGGGAATGTTAGATTAAACAATGTCACCTGATGGGAATTTAGATAACGGCGGGTTTCCAAAACACTGCTGTGTGTTTAGGGAACCAGTAAAGCTGAGGCCTGGCTCAGTCCTTCAGTTGCCCAGTGAACTTAGCACGTTGCCATTTGACGAACTTGTTTAGGAATTTTCCAGTGCTACGTATGCCTGCTCAACATAAACCTGTCACCGTAGTGCAGGTTCTTTGTCTGATACACCCAGGGAGCCACTGCAGAATTTTAGGGTGGCAGCATGAGCAGGCCAGCTGACATTCCAGCCCTTAACCTAGACGGCAGCTGCAAGAAGATGAAGCCACACTTTGATAAGAATGTACACCAGTCTTAACAGTCAGCTCCAAGCAGGTGATTCCTCGCCCTCCTGTGAGGTGTCTCTTCGGCACACCGTCCTCCAGCCAGAAGTCCTTAGACCCTGTGTCAGTTTGCTTCCTCAAGTTGTTCCGTATGCACTGGACGTTGAAAGTGGTAAGAACCTGTGTCTGTCAGGCAGTATCTTCCGACATAAACTGCTCTACTTGAATATCATGACAAAAGTCACCAGAGTTGGGTGTCTGAACTGTAAACATGTTCCAGTAAAGTGCCCTTCAAGCTTTTTGTTTATTTGTTTGATCCTTTTGTTCCTGTGTACCTCAGCCTGGTCTCAAAATCTTGGCAATCCTCCTGCCAAGATCCTGCTGGAAGGATCTCTTACCATTATTAGGCATTAATTGGGCCTTTGAGATGGCTCCACAGGTTGATATGCCACCTGCTAAGGTTGATATGACAACCTGGAATTCAGTCCCTAAGCTACAGCAGGACAGGGAACAGGAAGCTTCTTGGCCAGCTGTCCTGGAGTTCACAATACAGAGATGTGGAGACCCTTGAGGCACACGTGTTGCCCAGCATTCGGGAGGCAGAGGCAGGTAGCTAGGACAGCCTAATCTGCATGGTAAACTCAAAGACAGCCAAGGCTACACACCCAGGCCCAAAATTAAGGAAGAAGCTAAGAACTGAGTCTTGAAGCTTGACCCCATAATACTCTTCGCCCATGTTTGCATCTAAACACACACACAGAGTCAACAAGAGTCCTAACATTCTTGTATATGCTCTTCCACTTTAAAGATAAATAAATAAAATTGAAGCCTACATGTGGAAAATGCTTGTGCCTCCCTGCTAAAGGGAGGCTGCTCTGGTTTCTGGGTGCAGGAACCCATCTGAAAGCTCAGTGTGGCTTCAGCATTTTTTTCCTTTTGTTTGCTTGCTTGTTTTGTCTTTTGAATTTATGTGTGGGATGCAGGGGTATGTGTTGTGTGTGACAAGACTTTTCCTTGGGAGATGAAACACTATTCACCCCAGATAGGGAACAGATGACTGATGAAAAGTAGAGATACCACCTAAGTGCAACAGGGCGAACCAGTCAGGTTTTTTGAAGTTGCTTTCAGGAATGTGGGAGAGGAGTTAGTGAAGGAGCAGATCACTGCTGCATCACCAAAGCCCACCCCAGCATTGGGGACACTGTACAGTCTGCAGGTAGCTCAGCAGGCTGGAGAGTGTCCTTTCCAGCTGCCTCCGTTGGTCTGAGCCTTTTCTAGGCAGCTCATGTTGTCTGCTTCTTAGAGCCTGCTTGGCTGGTCTGAAAATCTTCTAGGCAACTTCTCTTCCTCTGTGAGGGACTCTCAGCTTTTATTTACTCTGGCAGGGAGGAGCCTAGTGAATCTGGTTTGTTTGAGGGATGTCTTAAAGACACTTACTGGGCGCTTACTTCCCTGCTTAAGGAGCTTGCCAGCAGGGTGGAATGTTTTAATCTCGAGACTATCAAAGAACAGTGTGAGTGTGTGTGTGTTTTAGTCTCAAGGAGACTGCTACACAGCAGTGTGTGTTGTCTCTGCGGATCCCCTGAAGCTGGAGCTCCAGTCGTAAGCCACGCAACATGAGTGTCAGGCTCTGCAAGAGCAGCAAGCATCTTACCCTCTGCAGCCGCTGAAAGACTCAGCACAAGGGTAGAAGGAACTGTCTGTTACCTCACCCATCAGCCATTCCAACATTCCCAGCACACAAAATCAAAGGCTGAACTGAAATTCAAGAAATTATTAGACCTGGACAAATTGGTAAAAAACTGTTACTAATTTTCAGCGGTTTGAACATAAATGTTATATATTTCTAAAAAAGACAAATTATCACCCAGGAACCATCTTCAGCACTGCCTAAAGTGGGGCTGGTGCTGCACACTCGTAATCCAAGAACTGAGGAGGTGGAAACTGGAGGATCAGAAGTTCAAATCACCCTCTGCTGTGGAAGGGATTCAAGAACAGTCTGGGCCATGAGAGGAAGAGAGAGAGACAGGACAGACAGATGGACGGACAGACACAGACAGAAGAAAAGCTTTAGGGCCTAGGAGAGTGCCCATTCAGTAAAGTCTATTATTACCAACCCTGACAAAATCACTGTTCACACTCACATATCTTCTGGCTAAACAAATGTTGACTTGTCTCACTTGAATAATACTTCATCCAAGAAGCATTATACAGCAAGACTAACCACTATGGTGCTTTAAAATGTTTGTGTGGCCCACATAATTAAAGCATTCAAAACAAACAACAGTGTGTAGCCCCGTGCTCTAACTCATGCCCTTCCTTCACCCTAGCTCTCAGTGGCTCCTGCTTGCCTAGGTTCTATAGGCATCCTTCCGGTGCACTGATGGTTTTCTGTTTCCTTCTGAGCTGCGCAGTTCTTATGTGGCTCTTGGGCTCCCAGGCTACGCTGTCAGAACTGGTGAACGGCTTAGCCACAGAGTCTAGATCTCAGCACACAGCTTCTCTCCATCTGTGTAGGGTATACTCCTTGTGACCTTTTCTCATCAGCGTGCCCTTGTCGCAGTGCTCCGAGACCTGTGATCAGATTTCGTAAGTGTTGTTCCTGATACGGTCTCTCAAGCCCACCAGGCCTGCTACCTCATCTCATTTGTTCTCCTCCTCCTCCTTGCCAATTAGAGACAGCCACGCCAACCCTCTCCCTAGGAGACACATTCCCACCCCACCCTCATCCCCACACTAGAGCCCTTAAAATGGCAATGTGTGCTGGGCATGGTGATGCATGCCTGTAATCCCAGTACTTGGGAGTCAGAGGCAGGCAGGTCTCTGTACATTTGAGGGCAGCCTGGTCCACCGAGTGAGTTCTGGGACAGCCAGGGCTACACAGGGAAACCTTGTTTCGAAAAAACAAAAAAGAGGCTATGTGCCAATTGGCCAAGAGATCTTTGCCCACTCCAGAAGCAGCTTGTTTATCTTTGTGGGGTGAATAAATCTCCTTTGTGCTGAGAATCTGTGTCTGGGTGTGTTCTGTGCCGACTCTCATCCTAGCACTTGGGAGGCAGAGGCAGGCAAATCTCTTTGAGTTTGAAGCCAGCCTTGTCTACATGTAGATCAAGTTCCATGGCATCCAGGGCTATACAAAGAGACCCTGTCT